GGCAGCGTTGGGCAGAAACTTTCTGTAGAAGTTGAGCATACCCAAAAATTTTTTGCGGTACTTGGTTTGGGGAAGTTGATGATTGCTGTCACTCTGTCGGGTAAAGGTCGTATTCCATTTGCCGAAACAGGATAATCTAGAAAAGAGACTTCTTCTTTACCAAAATGGCATTTCGTTGGATTGAGTAATATGCCGTAGGAATGCAGGCGAGTAAATAAAGTGTGTAAATGCTGCTTGTGCTGTTCAGCATTTTCCGACGCGACCTGTATATTATTATTATTATTAATATTATTATTATTATTATTATTATTATTAATTAAAGAAAGCCAAGGTACGTATTTGTCATTTCCATCAGCCCTTATAATGGAGAAAAACATAAAAATTTATTATATGTTGTGGCATACACAACACACATACATATATAATAAGCCTGTAGGTTGTGCTGTATGTACCTATACCAATTTGCAGCTTTTAAATCGTAACGGAAAATATATGAGAGGATATTCGGATGACGATTTTATAGGCGATTGAAATTGAAGATTCTTGTGATTTTACTCTACTGTATATAATAATATAAACTTACAGTGCTTAAATAAAATTGTATTTACATGCTACAACTACATGTCGGAACTTTGTATTCAATTTTAAAATTTACATTTTCTTTGGGTATGAAAAAAACAATGTTTTTACTGTTGTAGAAGTAGTGTACTTTAAAAAAAATATTAAACGTATCTATAAATAGGTGAAGGCCAAGTTGAATGATCGAACGGGTACAGAACCGGCCTAGCTACACTACTACTACTACTACCGTAATTTACTGAACTCTATTCTAACACTCTTTTAATCCTGAAAATAATTATAATTCAAATTTATTTTCATAGCAATTGTAAGTCGACCCATTTCTCTAGAACCATATAAAGAAATAATTGAAGACAAGGTAACGATTAAAGAATTCTACATACGTTAATAGCATATATTTATTAACAATCTTGTTTTGGGCTGATATTTACTTTTGTTTGTCCCGTGGTTTTTCACATATCAAAAAGATGGGCATCGTTTTGTGATTGCGAAAAAAATGCTTGAGTGTTATCTCCTATATTTCATGTATAATACACTCTGTACCAAATAATTATAAATAAATTTACAAGATTAATACTGAACATTATTTTGTCGTTACATCAAACAGTAAACGGGAAAATAATCGTGGCGGCTGTTTCTAATAGATGAAGTGCTAAGGGCTTTAGTATAAGTCGTATACCACACGTTATTGAATAATCTGTTATTATAATTATCATTAACCTCATACCATTTTCCTCCATTGTCATATTTTTTGTTAATCCCTTAATTGTCGTCCTTTCAGGGGTGAAACAAAATCTGATATTGCTACACAATTTTAATAAACTTTCAGTTATTTTTTTATAGTATTTTGCTTTATTTAAACATTATTTACTTATTTTTTAAATTCTTCACATTTACAAAAAATATTTACAGCCATCACATGCAATGTGCCCTCTTATCCCTAACTGGCTCAGTAAATTCAAATTTTCACCCTAAATACAATACTATTTTATAAACTTAAAGGAGCACGGCGCTGTACGGGTGCGAAACATGGACAATGGGCGCGGCGGAAAAGAAAAGATTAGAAGCGTTCGAAATGTGGTGTTACAGACGAATTATAAGTAAATCGTGAATAGATAAAGTTAGAAATTAAAAGGTATTAAAATGAGTAAGAGAACAGGAAGTCATTAAGAAATAGGCGAGATAGTTTGGTAGGACACCTTCTCAGGCATGAAGGTCTAGTCAGAGACATATTACAGGCAGAAACGGAAGTTAGGTGGGGTAGAGGTAGACCTAGATTACATTCATCATCATCATCATAAAGTCGTCAGTCCTAAGACTGGTTGGACTGGTACCTCCACTCTTTCCTATCCTGAGCTAAATTTCGCATTTTCCCTAAAACTAGAACAACCACATCCTTAACTATTTAGATTACATTACTGTTCGCAAATAGTTAATGATATAGGTTGTTCTAGTTTTGGGGAAATGCGAAGATTAGCTCAGGATTGAAAAGAGTGGAGGTGCGTGTCCAACTTGTCCTAAAACTGACGACCTTATGATGATGAGCTGTATTGTGTATAGAAGATGCTATAGATAACTAGATAATAATTAAGTGTGACGATATAATTGACAACTTGAGCCAGGAAAAGGGACTTAATTTTTTAGGAAATACTCGCTTATTTTTACCGTTAATTAGTAAATAATTAATACGCTATTTATTTTATTTGCTAATATGTGCAACGTACTCCTAACGACAATATTAAGATTTATTCTTTTTACTATTAAAACTATTTTTTATTATGCTTTTTATTTTTATATATTTTTACGTAATAGTCTTATTGTTTATTTTTGTTAATTGGTGAAAGCTTAATTCTAATTATCCTAAGTCCGGTGGGGCTCGGAGAAAAGAAAGGGTTTAGGGCCCCTCAAAATAGTATTCTATCACATTTTACGAGTGCTTCTTGATTGATATTGACATCCTTATACCTTATACCTATACCGTAATAATTTTGTAACACTTTAGCAGGGATTTTTTTTGATACTACCCAACAAAATTGCATTTTTATTGTTATCCTTTTTTTATTCTTCATGTGTTATACTTATTAAAATAAAAATGCAACACGCGAAAAGTACACGAACGCATTTTTAAAATTTAAGCGTTTCGCTGGGTATTTTACTGATACTATCATTGTGGCATCTTTATTTTACTTCGAATACCGTATCTGCTACCAATAAAAGTTTCTAAATGCTTTTTTAATTATTTCTTATATGCTGATGTTCCAGAAATAATTTTGTAACATGCCAAAAACTTACGAGCGCTATTTTACATTTACATTTAAGGTTTGAAGAATTTTGTCGACTAACTGATACGCCAAAATTTGGGAAAGCTTTTTTATGTTTAAATTATTTCGTAGATATTTTTATGATACCATCATCGTGACATTTTTATTTTACTTCAGATACCAAATCTGTTAACAATAAGAGATTCTAAATTTAAAAATAAAATTTATATTTTGATTTTGTTTATTAACATGGTAGATGGTACCCTTTTTATCCTAATCCGGACATAAACTTTGTTAATACCACAAGACTGCACTCTTTTACGTACTTTTTATGTATTAGACATTAAAATATTTTTGTATCCCGTTAAAATTTAGGAATGCCTTTGAATATTTAGTGTTTGTGATATTCAAACAGAAAATACGTAATATATAATAGATTATAAACGTTAACATGAATAATTATTTTATGTAACTGAAATATTTTTAAATTTTCTCGTTTATCTGTATTTTTTCAACTACTGCAGAAAAAGGGTGAGGTAAAATAAAAAAAACACTTTATTTCAGGAAATTTTTACTTTAATAGCACTGTTATACTGAGGAATTTTAAATTGAATAATATTAAAATAAACAAAGAAACCAAGAAAATGTATACAAGAGTAAATGGAAATCAGTACTGGGAAAAGGTCAGGATATCTAACAGGTGGTTCAAAAATAAGCATACATGCTGACAATATTCCACTTCCGACCAGTGAACTTAATACACAAACATATTCAAATAAACTTAACAGATAATGTCTATTTTTAACAATTTCTTTAATGGTTAATTTGAAGATATCCTCATTATTTGCCCGTCCATACTCTACACTTAAAAGTACATTGAGAAATCTTCTATAAAACGTCTGTTTTGTCTTTTTTGCTTTTGGTTCTCTTAACGAATATTCTATCACTGAATAAAAGGATGCTACATAAAAAATTGTAAGTCCAATAAATGCAATTACAAGTCTATCTTTCATTAACAAAGGGAACATACTGAATGTAGAAATAACAGTGAACCAAAAGCAAGGAATTGGTTTTACAGGTAAATATAATAAAACTGGTATGGCAGCAAGTAAAATACTTTTTTCATGAACTTGAAAACTAAACAAGAAAAATGCCAAAGATGAGTTTATTAATGAAGGTACAAATTTCTCAATATTTGGTCTCAAAAATAGGTCAGCAGCAGAAGGAACTATTGCTGCTAAAGTTGCAACAGCACAGTATCTCACCATTTGATTATTTGTAAAGTTTTCCTTGAATTTATAAACTGTATTCATAGTACACCACACATTTCCCACTTTATCTTCAAAAACACCTCTTGCTAGTGGGAACAAGCGATGCACAACTTGTAAGAAGTCTTTTGTGGAATGCAAAAATGGAAGCCAAATCACAGCAAATGTTATTACAACAACAGAGCCAATCTTCAGCAACTTTACGATACTAGTATAATAAGAATAGCCAGGATTAGGAATGGAGATACTTAGCATGTAAATAAAGAATGGTATCGCATGATACAGCTCCATTTGTTTGTAGTTCAATGAAAGGACAAAGAAAAATGAGGCGAACAAAATTTTTCCTTTGCACAAAAATGATACAGCAAACACTAAAAATCCTAGAGATACACAATTGTACTGAAAATGTCCATGGTCAATTAGTATGAGTCCAGGATATAATAAAGTCAGGATAATAGACAGATATGGCAGTATTGTACTTTCACTTTGTTGCACATTTGTTATTTTAACTTTTCCTACAGTTATTTTGGTATCACTTCTATACAGTCCTCTAGTAACTACAAAATATGCAACAACAGATGGAATGAAGACCAACAAATCTGCTATAAGTACTGTGAAACGCATAAACAGCTTATGGTCCTCATTTTCAAAACCTCTCGATTTATGCAGTGTAACAAAATTTTCATTTATCATTTTGGCTATAATGCCACAAATATAACTATGGTATGCTGTTAAAGGAGGATAATCTAAACCCCAATACATTAAATCATTGTCTGTGGTGTTATAGTACCACTGTTTTGTTGGTAGGTTGACTGTTATCTCCATCCAATGTCTTTGAGCTTCATAATCTCCATACATAGGAGGATTGTTTTGACCAGAATAAGGGTGTAATGATGTGCAGCATCTCAGTAAAATCGAAACCATAATTCCTAAACCACACAGCCATACTTCACTTGAAAAGCACATGATTTTTTTAAAGACAAAATCTTGCAATTTTCATCAACTTCGTAAGTCTACAAAATCGCTTTTAATAAAATATGTTGTGGGTGGTAAGCATTGAACAATGAATTGCAAAGTTCATTTCTTATCATCTTGTCTTGTTTATGTGGAAACATATGTTTAGAAACGGTTACTCTTAATGTACCTTTCTGCTATTTTATTAATTTATTTTAGGTTAGAACACATCAGCAACGTCATTTATAACCATTGAAAATAGTATATGAAATCCATAAAGGTAAGTAACTTTATTAGGTGCCTTCCATTATTCTTATACTTTTCCCTCATTAACGGTACATCAAAGTGGGTACCTTTAGTAATAATCTTAACTTATTAATGTAAAAAATAATTATTAAAAACTCGCTGTATAATATATTGTACATATAGTTTATTGGGTTATTTGTAACAACATTTAAAAGTACATCGATCATTTTAACATTAAATACACTTACAATAATTTTANAAGCTCATATTCAAATCCTGTGACATAATAGGTATGGTGGCTAGGGACGTTGATGTGGAATATGCTACCAGGGACACATTTCAGACTGATGCGGCTATCTCTTCTAAATTTAACGGTGTGTTAGAAAACTGACCATTTTATATTTTTAATAAAAACCCTCATTAACGATACATCAAAGTGGGTACCTTTAGTAATAATCTTAACTTATTAATGTAAAAAATAATTATTAAAAACTCGCTGTATAATATATTGTACATATAGTTTATTGGGTTATTTGTAACAACATTTAAAAGTACATCGATCATTTTAACATTAAATACACTTACAATAATTTTATGTTCATTGTAGCGCATTACATAAAATTATACATGAATTTTAAAGTCGACGACTACTAAAATTAGACTAATTAAGATATTAATGTGTTTCCAGAGCAAATGCAATGTTTTCAGTTTTTGGGTCTGGTCTGTATTCCATGTTCCAAAAATGAGTGAAAATGATAGCTTCTCCTTTTTTTAATTCTATATCGATAAGCGGACAGGAAGATCGGCAGTCTCTACTTGGGATTAACTGAATAAAGTTTCTTCCAGTCATCTGAACGAACAATACAACACGTTCTCCAAATTCTATGTTTTTATTTTTGTTTAACATGAAATTCTTGCTAATAAATATCCAACTATATTGTATGGGAGCCAATTGTGCAGGTAAAAATGGCGGTCGCGGAATCATTAGTCTCAATTGTTTTACTGCATTTAAATCGCAATTTTGAAATTGCAAGAAAAAATTATCAAACTTATCCATGCGCTTTACCAATTTTTTAACTTCACATATTTCGCTGTAAACACTTGTCGAAATTTCGCATGGAATTGAATTTGAAAGTGACGGGTCCATTTTCAAAAAGTTTTTTAAAACTGACGCATTAGCAAGATTCGGCCACATTTGAACTGCATTGCCGATTATAACAGGTTTATGAACTGATATGAATAATTCGTGGAGTTCTTCTTGAGTAATATCTTCCTTAACGTCGATTTTTTCTATACCTTGACATAATATGCAGTCAATTTCGGGTGGTTGCTGAACAATTTTTGAAAAAAATGGTACCGGAATTAGGCATCGTTCGTCTACAAGATACCGCCAATCGAAAACAGACAAAAGTTGTATCATTATCAGTCTACCGATAGCCTCAAAGAATCGAAAAAAAATATTAACGTAGCTCAGAAAATAGAAGATAAGCAATATCCCCAAAATAAAAAATATAATTTTTAATGTTTCGTTGACCTTAAAAGCATCCCCAAAGGCAGACCACACCGGCTTGAATAAATTTTGTACCTCAATTAAATTTACTCTATTAGCTTGACAGTATTTAACGAATTCCTCCACTTCCCCTGCCAGTTTTTTATCGACTTTCCCATTATTAACGGTATTATCGTTGTGTTTTGAATTGTTGTTTTCATTATGAACCTTGGCGCTTTCACGCGAATTTGCGTTGTGTTTTCTTGAACGCATCTAAAGACATTGAGATAAAAATTAGAAATTATCAATAACAAATACAAATTAAAACATACTGAGTAACAAATTCACGATAAACAACAAATTTAGAAATTCAACAGTGAACATGTAAGCTGTAACCGTTCATAAGAAAACAATAAAGTAAACCAAATTAAAATTACTAGAAAAAAAAGTACATTACCTGACTGGAATATTAGCAATAAAATACAATGGAAGACAAGTAACAGGTGTTATTGATGCAGAGACGAGTGTATGACCATTTGGGCTGTAAAATATAATTTACGCAACCGCCCTTATATTGATTTTCCCAAGGCAAGTTAAATTTGCCACAATTTATTGTGATAAGAAGAAAAAGAAGAATATGATGGCGTTCGAGGTTTGAACATGCGTAATGCAGACGTCAATTCTGACACTCGCTTGTAAAGTGTTGTACTTTAACTTGTTTAAAAAGGTGTAAACAGAAAAAGATTGTTAACTGCCTTTTTGGTCATTACTATTGTTATTAGTCGATTACGACTATCAGGATTTATCGGTTGTACACTTCTCCTTATGTTACGAAGTGCTACTAATTTGTAATTATTGATTACGTCACGCAATCACAAGCCATTTTGTCAGTTTGCACTCTTTGTATTCGCAGTGTTTGCGAAAAGTAAAGGTTCCCGAAACCTTGGTGTTCTTCGACAAGTGTTTTTTTAATCGTTTTCAAAATTCCCGTGCCTACGAGTAAGAACTCCGATACCGGGGTCGGTACTGGCGGCGAAAATATGAATAATAAGAAAAAAAACAGAGGAGGACCTGTACGGTAAGTTCGTTTATTGCATTTTACTTTATAGAAATTATAATAGTTATTATTTTTTTTTTGGAAATTTAAATTAGTTGATTAATTGGTCATTATTTTATTAGTTTGAAACGTGATGCCAATTTATAGGTAGTACCTATCTGCAACCCTTAAATTCACAATGGGTGACTGCTAATGATGTTAATATTCGTTTAATTTAATCGTTTTTAATTAAAACTTTTGTTTATTGTTTTTGTGAAAATCTGTGCGCATTTTTCTTATAAGGAAAGGTGAATAACCTAACCTTAAAAGTGAACGACTTTATGGGAAGTGAACGTTTCTTTCATTATTTTAAGTAAAGTAATCGTAAGTCGTCTTTATGGTTGAAAACAATCCAACGTTAACCATTTTACTAATTTCTGGTTGTATTCATCTAAATTTAAGTTTGGCATTTCTGGGAGTTGACAATTTATTTATCAAATATGTAATTAGGGCTTATTTGATAATACTCAGTAAAGTAATAGTAATATTTATCGTTGTAGGCCTCCTCGGGTAAGGCCTGTTCAAGCTGATGGTGTATACGGCAATGCGCATTTTATGCATGCAGCAACTTCACTAGTGGGCAATGTAGTACGAATTCAAACATTATCAGGTAAGGTTTGGGAGGGTGTTTTTCGCACCTTTTCAAGCCAGTTCGATATAGTTCTCGAAATAGCAGCCAAAGTTGATAATCCTGATTCAAAAAACTCCAGTCTTCGTGCAGATACTGTAGTTGAAAAGCTCATATTCAAATCCTGTGACATAATAGGTATGGTGGCTAGGGACGTTGATGTGGAATATGCTACCAGGGACACATTTCAGACTGATGCGGCTATCTCTTCTAAATTTAACGGTGTGTTAGAAAACTGACCATTTTATATTTTTAATAAAAACTAAATAAATTTTTGTTTCATTTAGGAAAGCAAAACTCTTTAGAAGAAAAGGAACTAGAACCATGGGATTCATCAGGAGCAGTAAATGGAAATGAAGCCTCATTAGAATTAGATCAAGGTACAAATGGGTGGGACGTGCAGGACATGTTTAGAAAAAACGAGCAAGTTTATGGTGTTACAAGCAATTTCGATCAGTCACTGACAGGCTACACTGTTCAGTTACAACCTAGCGACACACCTGACTATAGGTAAAATATTAAAGAATGATATAAGTCATATATGTAATGGATGTAAAATTTAATTTAAATTTCTCGTCAGGGAAGCCGAGGCTCGCGCTGAACAAATTGCAAATGAAATAGAAAATCAACCGAATTATAAAGCTCGACAGGAATTAGAAAACGGGGACGAAGAAGAAAGATTTGCGGCTGTGATAAGACCCAGTCAAAATCAAGATAATTCAAATTATTCCGTAAGTTCTTCATTTCTAAATTGTTTGTTTTGTTTTTATTTGTTGTCTCGTTGAATTTTTTAGAAATCAAGCCACGAACAACCCTCGTCAGGAGGTAAATATGTCCCTCCAGCAAAACGAAAAAATCCAGCAACTGGTAAACTTATGCGTAGTACGCCACCACCCTCTCAAACTAGCAGTGCTCAAACTACACCCTCTCCCAAAGGCACAGTGCCTCCGATGAACTATCCGACTCATCCCTCTCCTCATTCCAGCAATCCACCTTCTTCAAGCTCCAACAATATGATTTCGCAACATTCTCGTGAATCAAATGTTCCTCCTCCGCGAGAACCTAATCCTCCACATCACGTTGGCGCCCATGCTCCTCTACATCCTAGCATCCCATCGCAACATGTACATAACACTAATTCAGCCCATGCTGCTGTAAATATGCAACATCCTCATACAGCACAGGTACAACACATGGCTAATCATGTGCAAACACCACCGCAGCACCCTAATCCTGTATCGCATGGTGGTTTCAATGCCCCAATGGCAAGACAGGGACCCCCTCCTCAACAGGTGATTAATCAGTCGAAGCCTCAGATGAACGGGGATGCAAAAATGTCTCAACGAATGGGACGTAACAGTGGCTATCCACCTCCCAATGGTGGCAATGGTGGAAACGTTGGCGGGCCGGTTACAACCATGTACCAAGAACCTCCAATGGGTCCTCCCCAACATCAGAGCCAAGGAAAAGCGGAAGGCATGGGGCGTGGACCCAAACACAAAGATGACACGGTGAAGGTAATACCTTTCATTTTTACGTGCTACACAGTTACAGTATAAGATGTACTTTTATATTTTTAAAAATCTTTAATTTTTAAGGAGCTACATAAATTTTCTCAAGATTTCAAACTTGTCCCCCCAAATGCTGATCCAGTGTCTCAACAGTTGATGGATCAGCAGATGCAACAGCAACAAATGCTTTCTGGCCCTCCACCACCCCAAATCAAACAACAGCACCCAGGTCAACAGAACGTCCCACCACAACCACAGCAGTCAATATCTCCGACCCAAGACGGGGTCGACAAAGTTACCAATACACTAAAGAAATCCACTTTAAATCCAAATGCTAAAGAATTCGTTTTGAATCCTGCAGCAAAGCCTTTCACTCCAAGGTAAATATAATGATACTGCTATTGTTTTTAAGAAATGTTAATGCAATTGTATTATTTTAGATCTCCAAGTACTCCTAGTGCTAGCAGGCCTCACACACCCCAAACACCTAGCCATAGTCCATATATTTCGGCGACAGTTAGCGGCCCCCCTGGTCAACATTCGGTCCCCGTTATGATGCCCATGAATTACATCGTCACCAGTCAGCCCCAGTACCAACAGCAGCCACATCTTCAAGGGAACCGCAACAGGAAAGGTATTTTGTTTATTATTGCCCACTACGTTATTGTTATTCAAATAGTAAATTAGAAAGATTAACTTATGTATTACAAAATATAGCATTTTTAATTTTTCTAATATAAAACTAGTTCTTGATAATTTGTTCATCATTTTTTTTTAAATGTTCTAACATTAACTTTCAAATTCATGTTTGAAATTATGTATTGCTTACGAATTTCTGTTCTATAGTTTTTGTTTTTTTCGAAAATTTGTTTTCATATTGCCACAACTATAGTAATATCTACAAAAAATATAAAGCTTAATATAATTTTGCTGTTAATTGTTACTTTTATTTGCATATGTCCGTTCAGTTTTAAGTTACGTTGTAACCGTACCTATGTGCAGGTATTTAATATGTCTTGTAGAATTTTATTATGTAAAATTTTCTGGTTAATAAATTGGAATTGAAATTTAGTATAGAGCATGACAATGTAACATTATTAGGTTCATTTATCATTATTGTATTCTTTTAGTGCCGTTAGGTCCTATGAGAGCGGACGTTTCGCAGATGCAGGTCGCGGCGGCGACGGGCCAGCCTCTGCTCGCCCCTGCCCCTATACAGCAGTTCGTCTATCCACCAGGACTGAACCCAGCGCAGGCCGCCTACCAGCAAATGCACACTGTGCGGATGTTCGAGTCGCCGCCCCAAATCCAGTATTTGCCTGGACCAAATCCGTCGAACACTCCAAGTCCGGCACAGCCACCTAATCCTTATACGCCCAATCAGCCTCAACAAGCTCCTCCACCCCAGCAGTACCAGACTGCTCCTCCGCCACCTCATCAGGGTCCGCCGCAATACCCTATTATGTGCCCAATTATACCAACGCAGCCCCATATGATGCAGGCAGCTGCTGCGGCTGGTGTGCACTACATTCAGCAACCTCCCCCACCACCCCAAGGGCATATTCCTGTCATCTTGTCTGCACCTCATCATCAGCCCCCGCCCCAACAGCAACATGCTCCATAGCGAAGGGGGTTAGGCCAGCAGCACCAGCAGCTTAACTTTTAGTTGAATTCTTCGTGTGTGCGACAGAGACGAACAGTAAGAAATAGCGAGAGAGAGAAAGAGAAATAGAGCGAGCGAAAAACTTTGAGGTGGTAGAATAGTTAGTAAAAGAAAAGACGGATTTCGTATAAATTTGCTATGGTATGACTGAAGGTAAGAGGGTGATTTTTTTACTAGGGTTCGTTTTTTTTTTAATGGTAGATCCTATCGTGTTCGAGTCAGTTATAACAAATAAGCAAAAAACATTAGCAATTTTTTTATGAAAGGCTGAAAAAACAATAATATTTAATTATATAAGCGTAATGTATTTTTTTATTNAAACATTAGCAATTTTTTTATGAAAGGCTGAAAAAACAATAATATTTAATTATATAAGCGTAATGTAGTTTTTTATTCCAAGCTATTGAAACTATTAATTTCTTTACGAATATTAAGAATTGCAATCAAATTTCATGTGCTCTCGTTTTTACGTGAAGAACCACTAATAGCTGTTAAAAGCGCTTTATGAATAAGTTGAATTCAATCAATGTACTTAAATTTGCTGTAAAATTAAACATTCAGTACTCCTTTAGAGGTATTAAAATTGTAGGAGGGGCTAACCGCTTGTGTACAGGTGCTATTCAAAAAAAAGAAAAATTAACATAACTAAATTTTACACACTAAAAAGGAAACATTAAATTAAGTGCAGTATTATTTCGACGTTTAAATTACTTAGTTTTTTCAATAAAGACTGAAAAAATAAAAAATCACTTAGTAATTAACGTTGATGATAATAAGAAACGTTATTTTTTGTTGTTACATGAGGCATCCCCTAAATATACATTATTGTCTTAAAGTTTAGTTTATCATAAGTTCAAACAGCAGATCTTTTTCTGTACATTATCAGTCCTCTTACCTTATTGTCGTACCTAATAAGAAAAGCCATTAGAATTATTTATTGCAAATTTGATGGCAAATATTTTTCTTTTTTTGTTCGTACCAAGTCAATAAAAAGTAAGTCTATGTTAAAATGACTTGGTATGAACAGATTAAGATCGATTATTGATTTTTTTATTTTTTCATTTCCATGGACTCGTTGTTGCTAGTTTTTTGTTCGTTTTAAACGAGACGCCTCTTGCTATATTAAAAAATATTATTTTTGAAAATTTTGTTGTTCTATCGTTAGAATTTTACATTGTTAGTAGAAGGTGTCGATTGATATTTCAGTCGAAAAAACGTCTTGTTTTTATTTTATTTTTATAAGGGAAGAAAACAAGTCGATTTTGAAAGCTGCTGAGTTTTCCATTACTAGTATGCAGGCTTGTTTATTCAAATTTAGAAACCAATTTTTTTGTTGTTGGTTTCATAGTTTAAAAGCTGATGGTGCAGGTTCACTAGAATTATTTTTCGATTTCATTTTTCATACTTCAAAGTGAAAAGCTTTCTCCAGACATTCTGAAGATTTTTAAATTATATTTGTTCAAGTTTAAAAACTCCCAATTCCTCACTCATTCTTAACAAAAATGGATCTAGACACTTTTTCCCTCATATTTGTACAACTTGTGATCGAAAAATACTTATTTGAACAAAATTGCCTGCTTCTTTACAAAATTTTTTTTTTTATGAAAAATAGGTCTAGATCTGTTATTAATAATGTTCTGCGATAATAATAAAAACATGGAATTAGCGTATTAGAGAACGCTAAAATTACTTTGAGACCTTGAAAAAACTATATTGGGTGCCTTAAGTTATACAGCTCCCACAATCGCATTGTTTTATTTATTTTTTTGGGCACCTATGGAGCACATACATATTTACAATCAGGAAACGAAATTTCAAAGGGAATTGGTAATATTCTCTTTAATTTATTCATTCAGTTATTGCAACTGTTGATCTTTGGAATTGTCTTCTGCAGGCTGTATATATCTGACACATTTTAAAAAAGCCCATGAATTTTCTCTCAATTTTATATATTTCGAATCCTAAATTATAAGTTTTCTTAAAAATGATTTGAATGTTTATCTGGAAGTAGGAGATAAAAAATAAATCGGTCAAGCTTTTAGTCAACATTTTGGGCTTGACATAATTTATTGGATTTATTTATTGAATCTAAAGAAGGCCCAAGAAATTAATAATCCATTTGGTTATATACAATCTGTAAGATTTGTACTGAAGAACATTACACCATGTTGGTGTTTTTTCGAAATGCATTTTTCGGTTCTTGAAACTACAAAAAGCATTTTGAAAGACTGGAAAATAAACTTTGGTAATAACTGAATCTTAGTTTCATTAAAATACCAAAATTTTATTAATTTTTATTAATTTGTTGATATACGTGATAACTCGTTGAAAATTTCCTCGAAGAATCTTTGTTTATTGTGTATTACTTCAAGAAATAATTTTGGTAAATGTAATAATTTAAACTAAAATACCGACCTTAAAACGAAAACATTACATTTCATTTATTCAACTAATTAACTCAATGTTTACTGCTACCTATAGAATAAAACATTAAAATAATGTTTTGCAATAAAAATCTAAGTGTTTTGATTACATTAAGAAAATAGTCTATTTGAAAGTAATTTATAGATTGTTCAAAGATTAATTTCTATGAACGAACGTATGCCCTGTTGTGTGAAAACAGAGAAATTTGGGAAATTTATAGCAAAAAATAATTATAAACTGAAGGGGCACCTTGGAAGAATTGAAGTTATGGGTAAACTGAAGTTTCTTCCTTCTGATGTAATAACTCATAACACTGAGTTAACAAAAAAAGAATATCAGATTGCTCAAGCAGTGAGGTTTTCTTTTTTTTCAAGTTTCTGAAGTAATTTCTCATTAGTTAGTTGCATGTTCAAAAGCTTTTTATTTTAATTAGAAAAAGTTCATTTTTAGTACTTTCTAAGTGGAAGTATCTTAATTATTAAGTAAAAAGCTAGAATTTGAGGTAACACAAATTTAACGATTTGAAGTTTTATAATTTAATAAAATAAACTGAAGGCCTGTCCTGAAGCATCTTCTATTACGAGACTTTGTAAAAGGAATCCCAGACTTCAATGACAATTGCAAGTTTACCTTTTTCTTATTTTTAAGGCATCAATCCTTAATCGAATTAAATTATGTAGAATTCAATCGGTGAGTTTGTTGCTAATTCTAAGATATGTTAATTTGTTTATCCTGAACGTCAAATATCTGCCCTAAATTCTTTTTTTTTTATTATAAATCTTAGCAGAAGTCGAAATGAAATTTTTTGTATAAGTTTTAAATTATCCAATATAGTTGAATTTCTGTTTTTCTCCCGCCACAATATTAATCAATAGCATATGCAACCACTATAGCACAGTCGCATGCGGTTTATCTACTCAAAACATCAAAATTCATATAATTGTTACTTTATACAATCACTTTGTGAAAATCAGTTTTATTAAAAGTTTTCTACCGTATTAAATAATAAAATTAACACAGTTAGTTATAAGAAAACAATTCACAACTAATTTAATTATATTTCTAAGAACTTAATTAAACTTGCTTTTATAAATGCAAAACCAAGTCAGTAAAATAATATTATTACAGAATGGAATTTTTCTAAACTACAACTTTAAAATATAATTAGCAATTTTCGTGTGTGACAACTCATTCAAGCCAATGTTAAAAACAAACTCGTATATAAGCCTAAACTTTGCATTATTCGTGTTATACATTTGCTTCCATTTTAATGGCACTTTGGTCGTTCATTTGTATGTAGAAAATCCATTGGCATTTATAATAACTNTATACCATCACATTGTGAAGATCAATTTTGTTAAAAATCTTCTACCGTATTAAATAATAAAATTGACGTAATTAATTGGGAGAAAATAATTTACAATTAATCTATTTATATTTCCAAGAACTTATTTGAAGTTCTTTTCATAAATACAAAATCAAGTAAGTAGCACATTATTTTATTACAGAATAGCATATTTCTAAACTATAGTTTTAAAATATAATTATCAATATTCGTGTATGACAACTCAGTCAAGTCAATGTTGAAAACAAACTCGCATATAAGCCTCAAACTTCGCATTTTTTGTGTATTACATTTTTGCTTACATTTGAATGACACTTTGACAGTTTTACGTTTAATAACTGTAATCGTTACTTAGCAAAGCAGAAATAAAATTCCTTATTTAGATTTAATATGATTCAACCTACTTGAATTTTTGAATTTTTCTCCCGCCTCAATATTAAATTGTAGCATATGCAACCGCTATAGCACAGTCGAATGCGGTTTTATCTACTTAAAACATCAAAATTCATATAATTGTTATTTTACGCAACCACTTTGTGAAGATCAATTTTGTTGAGAATTTTCTACCTTATTAAATAATAATATTAACACAATTAATTGCGAGAAAATAATTTACAACTAATTTAATTACATTTCTAAGAACCTAATTAAACTTCTTTTTATAAATACAAAATCAAGTAAGTAACACTTTATATTAATACAGAATGGTATTTTTCTAAACTACAGTTTTAAAATATATTTAACAATATTCGTTTTACTGATACTTTGGCAGTTTTACGTTTGTATGTATGAACGCCTTTGTTATTTTTAATAACTTTAATCGTTACTTAGCGAAGCAGAAAAAAATTCTTGATTTAGATTTAAAATCCTACATAGTGGAGTTTCTGAATTTTTATCCCCCATAAAAGTAATTGTATGTATGTATGTAATAGCAGATTCTGTTACGATTTAGTCTAGTCAAAACGTTTGCTTAAAATTCATTTTAATTTGTCAAGTAAATTAAATCTCAATTTAGATTAATGTCTTCCTTGTTAAGTCAGCTGAATGTACCAAAATGTATCATTATTATTGTGGGTAATTTGCTAATAGTTGTAATTACTTTCAACCCCCAATTTTAAACTGCTGCTTTAATTTTTTTATTAATTTATTTCTCCCTTATTAAACCAGCTAAAACTTCCCATATGTATCAAAACTATTATGAGGCATTAAGGAAAACAATCTTAAAGTTGGAAATTACTGTCAGGCCCCTTCAACCGTCATTTTTGTTTCTCGATAAATTAATGTCTCCATTATTAAATAAACTGAAACGCATTTGAGACCAAAGCTTTAGAATTATTAATAGTTCATTAGAATCTCGAATGCTTTTTTAAATTTTTTTATATAAATACTTGAAAATTGAGATTCCGGAGATGGAAGGAAATATTAAATTTTTGCTCCAGAATTATTTAAATTTCGAAAATATTATTTCTTTATATCATCTCTTTGGTAAATAGTCTTTACTTCCTGCTTTTTTAAAACGCCTCATTAGAAAGCATCCATTAAAAAGTTTATTTTTTACTTAATTTTATATTTAGGTTTACTTAATAGCAATTTGAAAATATTTATAATGTTTTATTTATCAGTATTTAATTTTGATAAGTAATAGGTGTAGCATTAACTTTGCTAGCGGTGGTATGCTCTACATTCCAATTAATTTACGTAGGAACGAAGAATCCACGATAGCCGTGTAACCTGGTAACGTTGACGCGTCTAGTTTGCGCAATGGCATGCGATAACGATTGTAGGTATCATTATAAACAGTTCCGATTTTCGTGTTTACGCAAAAGCTAGATGGAAACAAAGATAAATTTGGCTCGTGTTAATTTTGAAATGTCCCAGGAATAATTGCAAATATGCACTATTATGCATCTAATGCAACAAATATGATAATAACTACAACCTACAACTTCAAATCACCAGAGAGAAATTGAAAATGGCCGATAAACTGTCCGAAGAAAAATTGTGAATTACGTTAAAGTATTTAATTAATTACCATTAATCTACCATTCATTATTATGTTGTTATATTATATTACTTGCGTGATTTATCAGTATTACCAATTAACTTTAACGTAATTTCCATAACCAATTTTATAATTATAAGAAGGTAGATATAGCTACATTTTGAGTGTTTTTTTTGTTTTTGGTTATAGTCATTTCATTTGATTGCAGTTATTTCATGGTTAATCTTGGGCATTATTAACATGGGACATTTTTGTGCTCTGCTCTCACCATTGTCATGAATTGTCTACTTGGAAGAAAATGTTGCATGGTCATTCCATTAAAGGGTAAGTCTTATACATTTATCGTACGCACCAAGTTGGGTCGTAGGAAATAATAACAAATTAAACAAATTTATTGTTCTTTCCTACTACATATTTACATATGTACATGGTTCATGGGTGTAAAAAATAATAATTTTTGAATGCCCTTTTCACAAGTTAGGACTTTCTCGTGAAGTAGATAAGTCAGTTACAAAAACTCGTCGCAAATTGAATTATTTTTAATGTTTCAACCTTTAATAGATTACAATAAATAAAACAGTATGTCTCAAAAAAATTACCTAAACTCAGGTATACCTGCTTACAAATATAAACATATAAATCATACACTTTTTCCTTTTGCTTGTCTTACCCTTCTTCAATTATTATAAGACATTCACTTGCTTACTTAATAAATTTCAGACCTTGTTTGTATGCATTTAATTACATATATACAATAATTCAACAGAATCCACAATCCCCGTTACATGTCGAGGGATCTATACTTAATGTTTCTGTGGAAATGTTTCACACCACAGCTGTTTATGTACACGTATAAGGCTGTAGAGATAAATTAATGTAGTAATGTAAAATAATACAATAAAAATACTAACTATGATATTTATTCGTACCCTGGATAACTACGTATTAGTTTAAATTTTCTTATTTGATCATATAATATCGTTTCGCATTCGCATAGCAGATTCCTATTAATTGTAGGTAGTACAAGAGCTGCCATTTATAATTTAATTGATTTGTTTAATATCACGCAGAAAGTCAGCGTTTTTGTCTGATACTTTCATAAAACACAATGCCATTGAATAATTGGGGGGCTATCAAAGACCCTGTATAATGTTCCAACTGTATTAAGTCTATTCTTAAAGTCATTCGATAGGTAATGATAATAAACGTGTTAATTAAATTTTAAATTTTTATCAATTAGGGCACTGTGAATTACATTGTCGTATAAGTCGTACATATTTGTGTTTAGTTAGACTTTACCCGAGGCTTTGCTCGCGGTGATGTCCTAAATACGTGTAAAAAATCATTGAGGACTACATAAAAGTCATCAGAGTATTTTTTTTCTGGATAAAAGGTACCATATGTCTGGTGCCCTAACTATGTGTGCACAAAATTTCATGATGGGTTTTACCTTCGGTTTGGCTCGCGTTGATGTTCTAAAATACTTGTCAAGGATCATCGACAACCAGATAAAACTAATTTTTCTATCCTTCGGGGACAGTATTTTTTTCTCTGGATGAATATTACCTTATATTATTTAATGTGCCCTTGACAATATGTGTATAAAGAGTAGTTAAGGCGTGAAATTCACATTCGCGTTGATAATATTAGTAAGGATTTTAGAACTTTATCACAGCACTAATGATTTTTATTTTTACATCACAGCGAAAAAGAATATTAATTTATCTGAAATATTTTTTAAATTCCGTAAATAACCATTTTTATGTTCTAATATGCATTTTTTAAAATTTTGTCTGTTTGTCCAATATAAAATGGGGCAAAACCGCAAATTACTATAAAAATTCATGACCCTCTTTCTTTATTTAATTTATCATTGCTATTTCTAACGAATTTACTTACAAAGTAGGTAATTTGTTTTAATACATACAGGGTGTCTCACGGTAATCTCCCATTAGAATATTTCGGAAACTACTTCGATTCGAATTTCGAAAATTTGCACAATAGCGTTATTGGGTATGCTCTCCTCAATTAAAATAAAGGCTTCGATGTAGCACTTTCAGTTATACCGAAAATTGATACCAACTTCGTTATTTTAATTGGAACACCGTACATATCATGACGGTTTTGATTTCTACTTATATATACAGGGTGATCCATTTGAAAAAATTCACTTACGATTGTTTGAAGTTAACCAAATCTGCCACCAAATATCTAACACCCTGTATTTAAATAACCCACTTTGAAAGTATGGACGGGGAGCTTGAGACTAGCTACTTTTCCTGAGAATAGAAAACGGTAAATTTTAGAAGTAGAAAAGCATTATAAAAGTCTACCTAAAATCATAAGTAGAAGTCAAACCGTCATGATATATAGGGTGTTCCAATTAAAATAACGAAATTGGTATCAATTTTCGGTATAACTGGAAGTACTACATAGATGCCGTTATTTTAATCGAGGAGAGCATACCCAATAACGCTATTGTGCAAATTTTCAAAATTCGAATCAAAGTAGTTTCCGAAATATTCTAATGAGAAGTCTCCGTGATACACCCTGTATAAGTAATTTATAAGAATAACTCCATATTTTAGAATATATTACCTGCTTCTGCGACTTTTAATGATTTATACCCTAATGCAAAGTTTACGCTAGAAGAAGAAATAAATAAATTAATTTCCTTGATTTAATTGAACTGAAATTAACAATATCACATTTTCGATTTTTCAGAAATCGTCACACACCGTAACATAATAAATCATTTCATCTGCATAATACAACATAAATTAGCTGCTTACAGTAGCATGATTCATATTCATAATGAAAAAATATGAACTGCAGCTTCAAACTGTAGCGAGTTTTTAAAAAATAGACAAAGATTGTCACTTTTGCGGATATTTTTGACACTTATAAAATATAATTTTGAAAAGCTCATAAGGCGTTCGAGGCATTGATGTCTGCTCTTTTTCATGATGCAAGTGTATTTTACATCCGACTTCAAAAATGCGAACTGCAGTGTCAGAATGTGCTGTGTGTTTTTCAAAATCAACAAAAATCGTATCTTTTGCGGGCATTTTCGACTCGTATAGAAATGTAATTTTGAAAAACCCGTAGGGCGTTCGAGGCATTGATGTCTGCTCTTTTTTATGATGCAAGCGGATTTTCGATCTTACTTCAAAAATGTGAATTGCAGTGTCAGAATGTGCTGTGTGTTTTTCAAAATCTACAAATACTGTATCTTTAGCGGGCACTTTCGACTGGTATAGAAATGTAATTTTGACAAGCCTATAGAGCGTTCGAGGCATTGATGTCTGCTCTTTTTAATGATGCACGCGGATTTTACATCTGACTTCAAAAATACGAACTGCAGTGTCACAATATACTGTGTGTTTTTCAAAATCTACAAAAACTGTACCTTTTGCGGGCATTTTCGACTGGTATGGAAATGTAATTTTGACAAGCCTATAGGGCGTTCGAGGCATTGATGTCTGCTTTTTTTTATGATTCAAGCGGATTTTAAATCGGACTTCAAAAATGCGAACTCCAGTGTCAGAATGTGCTGTGTGTTTTTCAAAATCTACGAAAAACGTATCTTTTGCGGGCATTTTCGACTCGTATAGAAATGTAATTTTGAAAAGCCTATAGGGCGTTCGAGGCATTGATGTCTGCTCATTTTTATGATGCAAGCGGATTTTAAATCTGACTTCAAAAATGCGAACTGCAGTGTCAGAATGTGCTGTGTGTTTTTCAAAATCTACAAAAAACGTATCTTTTGCGGGTATTTTCAACTCGTATAGAAATGTAATTTTGGAAAACCCATAGGGCGTTCGAGGCATTGATGTCTGCTCTTTTTTATGATGCGAGCGGATTTTACATCTGACTTCAAAAATACGAACGGCAGTGTCACAATGTGCTGTGTGTTTTTCAAAATCTACAAAAATTGTGTCTTTTGCGGGCATTTTCGACTCGTACAGAAATGTAATTTTGAAATGTCCATAGGCCGTTCCAGGCATTGATGTCTGCTCTTTTTTATGATGCAAGAGGATTTTAGTTCTGACTTCAAAAATGCGAACTGCAGTGTAATAATGTGCTGCGTGTTTTTCAAATTCTATAAAAATTGTTTCTTTTGCGGGCATTTTCGACTCGTATAGAAATGTAATTTTGAAAAGCCTATAGGTCGTTCGAGAGATTTATGTCTGCTCTTTTTAATGATGCAAGCGGATTTTACATTTGACTTCAAAAATTGCGAACTGCAGTGTTTCTGTGTGTTTTTTGAAATCGTCGATAATTGTAACTTGCGAACGTCTTTGACTCTTATAAAGTGTAATTTTGGTAAGCCTATAGGTCGTTCAATGCATTTTTGTAGTCAAATGTAAAATCCGCTTGTACAATGAGAAAGGACAGACTTGAATGCATGGAACGCCCCGTCGGTCTTCAAAATTAAATTTACGAGTCAAAAATGTCGGAGATAGAAAGCGATTATAATTGTAACTTTGGCGGTCATTTTTGTCTGGTTTAAAAAATATGGCGTTGGAGGTATTGATGTCTGCTTTTTCTTACGTTTCAAACGTAGTTTACATTTTGCTATACAAATTGCGGCGTGGCAAACTACCGTGTTTTCGAAAACTAGTAAAAATTGTAGTTTCCGTAGTCACTTTTGATTTGTTTAAAAATGTAATTTTGAAGTACCGATCGGCCTATCGATGCATTGATCTGATTTTATTCCGGTAGTGTGTATAAATAATCTTTTTTAATTGTGTAGTTAATTTATAATTTCAAATATTTGGCGCCAGTGTAGAATGTTGCCCGAACATATCAGTACAGCGCTCCCTTGCGTTAACCTCGGTAACATTCAGACAGTCACGTGATCACGTCGCCAGTCCCACTTTGGGTTTATTAAATTACAGTAATGTCTCATTTTACGTGATATTGTGATAATTATTTACAGTGGATTCATTTAAATTGTATCATAGTATTTTTTTAAACCGGCATATGCAACAACGAACCGCTACTTGTCAATACATATTAAGCATAAAATGGATGACTATCTTGGAATTATCTATGATCTTGGACGAGATTAAGAATTACGTAATCTCGTCGATGACGTACTTCCTTCTTGTTCACCAGTTTGTTGCTGCTTCTCGTCTCTTTTTGTAGTTTCGCATTGTGCTATTTTATGGGTATTTTTTATACGAAGAATTTGGGAAAGGTAATAGTACATACAAAATTTCTACCATAATAGATTCTAAAATTACAGTTTTATCTGTTGTATGTTTTTTTATTATTGGATATCGGATTATTTTTAGGATTCCATTAATAAAGTTACCAATTTACTCCGCCATATTTGATAGTCTAGGAATAAAAGTTTTTGTTAACAAAATTACTGTTTCCATTCATTTTCCTTTTTCTTTTGCTCTATAAAGTTTGTGTCGACTTTCATTTGTTCTTTTCTTTTTACAGATTCACGTAGGAATAGATTTTTGTCTTGCCTATGTTAAATAAGTTGTCCTGTGGCAGTAACCTAGGGAGACATTTCATATTCTTTCTAAATCTTAATGGAACTTGTTGTCAAGAGGTAAGATGATTGAAAATAAATTTGTTTGGTACTTGCTGATGACTGTATAAACGGTTATGTATAGTTAAAAATAAGATGTATTAATTTATTATAGAATAAATACGTACTGATAGTTACAATATACCAACTGGAATATTTGTTGTTTTTGTACAGGCTTTACAATAATACCGAAGGGCATAAAAATGGTCTGTGCCAAGATGTTATATTATTAATGGTGTGAAAAGTTGTCCTTTACCTATAATACCTTCCACACTAGTGGGAAACCTGTGAGACTTACTTTGGGTAAGATTTTAAATATTTTAACTTTTAATGATTTAGTGTAGTTTATTTAGTCTACTACTTATTGCAAATAATCAATACAAAATCATAGATAGTAAAATAAACATTGCATTGCAACTTTAACTAAATAATCTGCAAATAAAACAAACATTGTTGTGAGGAAAATACGCTAAAGTGGTTATTCTTTTGTCTCTGTTTAGTATCAAGAAGTTTTGCAAATGACTTCCTCTCCTGGAAAGTGAAGTGGTTTGCTGAAGAATGAGCTTGTGGCATGTAATTGGCTTCTGTTTGGACACGTTAGGAGTTATAAGACTAAGAGGTAAGAAAGATATCTTAAGAGTATTTTTGGGACTTGTTAATGGTTGATTCATTATACAATTCCACAGTAATCCTTTTATAATGTAAATTGTAGTTATGTAGTTTTTTCCAGTGTGGTGGTCAAATAATTACACAACTATATGTTTTTATAACGTTTCCTTTTGTAACCATCTTCATACTGAAAAAATTTTGTTTTTTATTTATAGTTCTACTAGTTAGGTGTTATACGTTTGTTTATAAATTATAAATATAATCAATAGTCAAAGAACATACCTTTTGGAGTGTTAGTGCTTGTACACAGATATTAACTTATTCTTAAACATTCTACCATGTTTAACAACTGCATACTAGTTCTGAATGTTTAGGTAAAGCATTAACCCCCATCTGGTTTATGGTCTTTTGGATTTTCCTATATATATTTAATTGAAGTCTTATAATATATTTTGTTAAAGTTGTATCTGTTGTATTATTATTATTTATGGTTTATGTTATGAAATTGTTATAATTATTTCTTAAATTATCTGTATAAGTTCTGAAGTTTACACGAGTTTGGTTGTTTTTTTTATATGTATCATCATCAGATACAACTTTAACAACAAATTTAATTTTTAATGGATACTTTTTAAACAACGTTTCAAAGATAAGATACCAGAGGTAGAACAGTAGAATTAATTTGAAACCAAACTTTCATCGGTGTAAATGTTAGCTTAATACAAACTATTATTAGGTGCATTAAGTATGTAAATTTACCAATTTGATTGCTTTAAAAGTAATAATTAATTTCTTTCCTTACGTGTTTATAGATTGCCCAACAAATGAAAAGGAATTGCAGTTAACTTTGATGCTACTGAAACAAGCGTTGCATCTCTGCTATGGTGTTTTATCTGTTAGCTTTACATCTTGGAAACTGTTATAGTTAATTAATTAAGGTGAGCATACGTGTCAAACTATATATTTATATTANTACATTCAGCTGACTTAACAAGGAAGACATTAATCTAAATTGAGATTTAATTTACTTGACAAATTAAAATGAATTTTAAGCAAACGTTTTGACTAGACTAAATCGTAACAGAATCTGCTATTACATACATACATACAATTACTTTTATGGGGGATAAAAATTCAGAAACTCCACTATGTAGGATTTTAAATCTAAATCAAGAATTTTTTTCTGCTTCGCTAAGTAACGATTAAAGTTATTAAAAATAACAAAGGCGTTCATACATACAAACGTAAAACTGCCAAAGTATCAGTAAAACGAATATTGTTAAATATATTTTAAAACTGTAGTTTAGAAAAATACCATTCTGTATTAATATAAAGTGTTACTTACTTGATTTTGTATTTATAAAAAGAAGTTTAATTAGGTTCTTAGAAATGTAATTAAATTAGTTGTAAATTATTTTCTCGCAATTAATTGTGTTAATATTATTATTTAATAAGGTAGAAAATTCTCAACAAAATTGATCTTCACAAAGTGGTTGCGTAAAGTAACAATTATATGAATTTTGATGTTTTGAGTAGATTAAACCGCATGCGACTGTGCTATGGCGGTTGCATATACTACTGTTTAATATTGAGGCGGGAGAAAAATTCAAAAATTCAAATTTGTCAAATCATTTTAAATCTAAATAAAGAAGTTTATTTCTGTTTTACCATTTAACGATTAAAGTTATTAACAATACCACAGCATTTTATACTTACAAACGTAGAACGGCCGAAGTGCCATTAAAATGGAAGCAAGAACGTAAAACACGAATATTGCAAAGTTTAAGCCTTATATATGAGTTTGTTTTCAACGTTGACTTGAATGAGTTGTTATATACGAATATTGATAGTTATATTTTAAAATTGTAGTTTAGAAATATGCCATTCTGTAATAATATAATGTATGACCTACTTTATTTTTGTATTTATGAAAAGTAGTTCACTTAAGTTCTAAGAAATATAATTAAGTTAGTTATGAACTATTTTCTCGCAATTAATTATGTCAATTTTATTATTTAATACGCTAGAAGATTTTTAACAAAATTTATCTTCACAAAGTGATTGAGAAAAGCAACAATTATATGAATTTTGATGTTTTGAGTAGATTAAACCGCATGCGACTGTGCTATAGCAGTTGCCTATACTANCTGTCCTTCATGCTTTGTTCCTTCGTTAAATTTGAAGGGCTATCCCTTATCTTCTAGTTCTACTGTTATTTTTGTTATTTCTCATCTATAGTAAATTTTTTTATTTAATACGATATTCCTTCAAGATTTCACTTTCTTCTGGGTTTCTTATTTTTTCTTCTGAGAAAAGCAACAATTATATGAATTTTGATGTTTTGAGTAGATTAAACCGCATGCGACTGTGCTATAGCAGTTGCCTATACTACTGTTTAATAAAGGCGGGAGAAAAATTCAAAAATTCAAGTATATTGAATCATTTTAAATCTAAATCAAGAATTTTATTTCTGTTTTGCCAAATAACGATTTAAGTTATTAACAATACCACAGCATTTTATACTTACAAACGTAGAACGGCCAAAGTGCCATTAAGATGAAAGCAAAAATGTAATACCCGAAAAATGCGAAGTTTGAGGCTTATATACGAGTTTGTTTTANGAGACTTCAATTTCTTACACGTTTGTAACCTGCTTCAATAAGGCAACTTTTAAACAACATTTCAGATATGGCAGATCCATAACAGCATAATTAATGTGGAACTTATTTTATCAGTGTGAATGTCACGTATTTACTTGCTTTAAAAGTGGTAATTAATTTGTTTTTCTTGTCCATTTCTATAGATTGCCCATTAAATGAGAAGGAATTGCAGTTAATTTTGGCCCTGAGAATAGGATGCAATTGAAATTATTTGGAAGCCACCGAAACGACAAATTGTCAGCTGTGACATCTCTTCCAGATTTGGTTTGCTCTTCATACTAGTAGATTTTAGAACGCTACTTTCTACAGTTAATTAAAGTAAGAATACTTGATATAATTAATTTTAATTTAATAGTATTAATCTGTAGTGGTATTTCTTTTAAACTGTTACCTATTTGGCCAGAGAGATTGATGTTGTGACGTGTGTATAGTATTTTAAATATCTATAGTCCTCCACAGCACCTATGGTATGTCGTTTAACGTTTATCTATTGTTTACAGTTTAAATTGACTGGTGCATNAAGACAAAAATGTATTCCTACGTGCATCTGTAAAAAGAAAAGAACAAATGAAAGTCGACAAAAACTTTATAGAGCAAAAGAAAAAGGAAAATGAATGGAAACAGCAATTTTGTTAACAAAAACTTTTATTCCTAGACTATCAAATATGGCGGAGTAAATTACTTAGTAGCTTTATTAATGGAATCCTAAAAATAATCCGATATCCAATAATAAAAAAACATACAACAGATAAAACTGTAATTTTAGAATATATTATGGTAGAAATTTTGTATGTCCTATTACCTTTCCCAAATTCTTCGTATAAAAAATACCCATAAAATAGCACAATGCGAAACTACAAAACGAGACGAGAAGCAGCAGCAAACTGGTGAACAAGAAGGAAGTACGTCATCGATGAGATTACGTAATTCTTAATCTCGTCCAAGATAGTCATCCATCATAGATAATAGATCTACAAAGGGTAATCATCCAGGGGTCATCAAGGGGTCATCCATTTTATGCTTAATATGTATTGACAAGTAGTGGTTCGTTGTTGCATATGCCGGTTTAAAAAAATGCTATGACACAATTTAAATGAATCCACTGTGACTATTTATCACAATATTACTTAAAATGAGACATTATTGTAATTTAATAAACCCAAAGTTGGACTGGCGACGTGATCACGTGACAGTCTGAATGTTACCGAGGTTAATGCAAGGGAGCGCTGTACTGATATGTTCGGGCAACATTCTAGACTGGCGCCAAATATTTGAAATAATAAATTAGCTACACAATTAAAAAAGATTATTTATACACACTACCGGAATAAATCTAGTTTCTTAATCAGATCAATGCATCGATAGGCCGATCGGTACTTCAAAATTACATTTTTAAACAAATCAAAAGTGACTACGGAAACTACAATTTTTACTAGTTTTCGAAAACACGGTAGTTTGCCACGCCGCAATTTGTATAGCAAAATGTAAACTACGTTTGAAACGTAAGAAAAAGCAGACATCAATACCTCCAACGCCATATTTTTTAAACCAGACAAAAATGACCGCCAAAGTTACAATTATAATCGCTTTCTATCTCCGACATTTTTGACTCGTAAATTTAATTTTGAAGACCGACGGGGCGTTCCATGCATTCAAGTCTGTCCTTTCTCATTGTACAAGCGGATTTTACATTTGACTACAAAAATGCATTGAACGACCTATAGGCTTACCAAAATTACACTTTATAAGAGTCAAAGACGTTCGCAAGTTACAATTATCGACGATTTCAAAAAACACACAGAAACACTGCAGTTCGCAATTTTTGAAGTCAAATGTAAAATCCGCTTGCATCATTAAAAAGAGCAGACATAAATCTCTCGAACGACCTATAGGCTTTTCAAAATTACATTTCTATACGAGTCGAAAATGCCCGCAAAAGAAACAATTTTTATAGAATTTGAAAAACACGCAGCACATTATTACACTGCAGTTCGCATTTTTGAAGTCAGAACTAAAATCCTCTTGCATCATAAAAAAGAGCAGACATCAATGCCTGGAACGGCCTATGGACATTTCAAAATTACATTTCTGTACGAGTCGAAAATGCCCGCAAAAGACACAATTTTTGTAGATTTTGAAAAACACACAGCACATTGTGACACTGCCGTTCGTATTTTTGAAGTCAGATGTAAAATCCGCTCGCATCATAAAAAAGAGCAGACATCAATGCCTCGAACGCCCTATGGGTTTTCCAAAATTACATTTCTATACGAGTTGAAAATACCCGCAAAAGATACGTTTTTTGTAGATTTTGAAAAACACACAGCACATTCTGACACTGCAGTTCGCATTTTTGAAGTCAGATTTAAAATCCGCTTGCATCATAAAAATGAGCAGACATCAATGCCTCGAACGCCCTATAGGCTTTTCAAAATTACATTTCTATACGAGTCGAAAATGCCCGCAAAAGATACGTTTTTCGTAGATTTTGAAAAACACACAGCACATTCTGACACTG